AAAATGTATATTAGATCATAAACTCATCAATTGATTTCATCATCAAAATCTAAGATTGAACGGAAAGTTGGGTCAAGCGATGGCACCGACAAATTGGCGGTGGAACTGCCTATGAGTTGGAATAGTCAGAAGCCCAATCTCTAATGCTATCAGGTAGTGCTACCACCCAATTGTTGAATCTCATATTTTGATGATGAATCCAATTGATAGTATTTATGATTTGATTTATGTTTTGAGTGATGCAGGATACTTCGATCAGTATGAGATAATTAAAGTAGGAAGAATCATGTTAGGTCGAAGGAAAACATGTTAGAAGATTAGACATCGGGCCAGAGGATCGGTCAACGTATCGATAGAAGGCTTCGGGCCATGGATTCAAGCATTAGGCCAAGAAGAGATGATATTGTGCCAAGGATATCGGAGTTGCGGAGTCAATTGGCCGATTGAGCAATAGGCCGCAAGAGAGGACGATGCGCCGAAGAATCGGAAGAAGCGTCGAGGGACCAATGACATGAAGGACAATATGATTAATGCTTAGTAATAATTGCCTAAATTGAAGTGTGTTTTACATGTGCAGGATTAACTACGATAGCAAAGCATAAAGCAAAATGAAGTCCTAGAGTCAAGAATGTGATTTTATTGGGAGTTCGAGAGTTCGTCGGAAGTTCGAACATTCGTCAGAAGTTCTGCCGAGAAGTACCAAAGCTTGCCAGAGAAGCTCGTCGAAACTCGCCAAGAAGATTGTCGTGAAGTCCAGGAGCTTATTGGGAGTCAGTTGGAACATTGCCGAGAGATCGTCAGAAGTTCGCCGGAATCTCGCCGGAAGAAACTAGACTTACAGACTTGTTTAGCTTAGGAAATGTCTTAAGAATCATAGTTAGCACATAATTGGGTTTGAATTTGGGCCAACCCAATTATGGGCCAGTTGGACCCATGTAAGGACTATGTTGGGCCTAATGAAAAGGCCCAAACAGTGCCCCAAGAGGTGACACCATCATGGCACAATCTCCGAGACTATGTCAAGCGGTGGTATCGTCGGTCTGGGTGATGGTACCACCCAGACACAACCTCCGAGAGGTTGCAGGCGGTGGTACCGCTAGTCTGGTTGGTGGTACAACCCAGTGTCAGGCGGTGGTACCACCAGACTTGTACCGCCCAGTGCAGTGTCAGTGTCAAACTGACACTAGCGTGCTAGTCATAGGTGCCCAGCAAACCAATCACGTGAGTGATGGCACGTGTGACTTGATACAGAATCTTTTTACTTATTATTTTTTGGCATATATCACTTTATAACTATTACATATATGCATATATATATTGTGATTTCCTTGGATTTGTGCAATGTGAATCGGATCGTGATGAGATCACGAAAATGAGATCGATTCACCTTTAAACACATATCCTAAATAATCCCGTTCATAGGTTAATCGAGAGGGACATCGTGATAACCGGACAAACTGGTGTGCTATATACCCATCCATATGATGGATGCAGCGGGTCTCATAGCTACTCGTGTAGGGACACTAGGGATACAGTACATGTGCTCATTGGAGAATGAGTTCACTGATTGATCCACTTACGGAATGCTGGATGGTTGATGATGCCTTATTGTTAGACAGCGATTCCGTAGTCCTACCGGTATATCTGGTCCTTAGACTTGAGACACCAAGGATGTCCTGTATGAGTGCTCCACTCTTTGATACTAGACTTATAGGTTTGGCTGTCCCAGATCTAGTACAGCTGGTCATCGGGAGTGGTAGTCGACCTTACGAGGGCTATTGAGTGTCGATAGAGGATCATCCACTCTCGGCATCATGAGAGAAATATCCCATGTGTTCTTACTCAGACAAATCCCTAGCCAGGGTTATTCGGGTTGAGAGAGAAAGAGTTCTCTGGGAGAATCCGATTAGAGCGAGACTCGAGTAGAAACCGTATATGTCTGACAGCACCATGCTCGATATATAGTCTTTGGGATATTAGATGGATGAGGGACTATAGGTACACGGTAACTAAGGACAAACAGGTCCAATGGATTGGATTCCCCTATATCGTTTGGGGACTACGGCGTAGTGGCCTAGTACGTCCGTAGTCGATGAGTCAAGTGAATTATTACAGAAATAATAATTCACTGAGTTAGAAGGAGTTCTGATAGGCATGACTCACGGCCAGCTCGATATTGGGCCTAGAGGGTCACACATATATGGTAGGCATTGCGATGAGTAGAGGTTCGGATATGAGATATTTGACGGAGCCCTTGTCTTATTGGATATCCAATAAGCCCCTAAATGATTGGATCCCATGGACGAGACCAATAAGAGCCCATGAGAGATTATTGGATAGAGATCCACTAATCTAAAAAGCTTGGGTTATTGGATGCAGATCCAATACCCACTAGGGGAGGATCCATTGGGGTTTGATAGGGGACCTCTATAAATAGGAGGTATTCGGAGCCTCAAAGGCTAGAGCCTTTGCTTGCCTCTCCTATTCTCCTTCCCTTCTCCACCTCAGAGCAGGCTGTTAGGATCAGGAGCACTAAGGAGGGGGGGGGGGGGGGGGTGAATTAGTGCAGCGGAAAACTTTTGATGATTAAAACTGCGTTTGTACGATAAAAGCGATTTCGATAGAAAACCTGATTCGTAAATCACTTTAACTTGTGATCAAGCGAGATACAGTTAAAGCAAGTCTATGAAGGCAGTTTGCAGTTATGATGGAAATTAGAATGTAAGCGTAAACTGAAATATGATGTTCGTACGATAAAACTGATTTACGTCTAAACACCGATTCGTAAAATACTGAACTTTGAAACACGATCGTAAATGCGTAGAAGGCAAACCGAGATTTAGAGTGGTTCGGTCAATCTTGACCTACATCCACTTTTGGCTTCCTCCACCAACGAGGTCACCAACGTCCACTAGAGGCCTTCCTTTAATAGGCGAACGCCAACCACCCTTTTATAGTTTCACTCCTTTTGACGGGCTTAGGAGACAACCCTTACAGAATTTTCTCTCCTCTCTTGAAAGATCAAAACTTGGAAGAAAAGAGGGAGGAGAACTTCTAGACTTTACAACACTTTTGAGCTCTAAAATCACAGAGTAAAATCAAGCTTTCGGTGTCTTTGGGTTACCCTTTCATTACTGAAAGGGTGGGGTATTTATAGGCTCCAACCCAGTTTGAATTCCGAGCTCAAAACTGTCAATTCCTGGAATTTCGGGGTCTGGCGGTTGCACCGCCTGACTGGGGCGGTTGCAACACCTGGCAAAGCTCGAAGACTGAGCCTTTGGGCAGTGCCACCTCCTGTCATGGGCGGTTGCACCTCCTGCCAGAGCTCGGAGATCGAGCTCAGGCGGTTGCACCTCTGTCAGAGGCGGTTGCACCGCCCAGCCAGAGCTCGGAGACTGAGCCCTGGGCAATGCCACCGCCGACCCAAGCGATGCCACCTCTGGCCAAGTAATCTAGGTCCGAATGGGCTGATCCATTCGGCCCAATTTAGATCTGTCAAGGGCCCAATTGCCCCAAGATTAAGTTAATGGGATCACCTCCCATTTCTAACTTAATCATCGTGCTAACTATAAATTTCTTAAGACATTTACTGTAACTTACTCTAGTGCGTCAATCGCTTCTTCCAGCGAGCTTCTGGCGAGCTTCCGTCGATCATCCGATGAACCCTCGGTGATGCTCCTGCGGACTTCCGGCAAACTCTTGGACTTGCGACGATCCACTTGGCAAGTTCCGACGAGCTTCTTTGGCAAGCTCCTAGACTTCTCGGATTTGTTCCTGCAGAACCTCCGACGATCGTCTGAACTTCCGTCGAATTCTCGAACCCCCAACGTGATCATGGTCTTGACTCCGGCGCAACTCCTGCTACATGTCTTACTTTCATCGTAGTTAATCCGGCACACTTATCTCAACATATGGATTAGATAACAAATGACAATTGACGTCATCATCAAAATCCGAGATTCAACAATCTCTCCCTTTTTTATGATGACAATCAATTGATAACGGAGTTAACCTTAACTCCCCCTATCTATGTGCCATAATTGAGATAAGTCATTCTTTAATTCAAAGCCTTTGAATTCAAGAGACATATTGATAAGTTAAAATCATTTAACCTTATCAATACTCCCATCATGATTCCCATCATGATGTATCTCTCTGAAAATGATGTATGATGTCAAGGCTTGACATCCATTTTCAAATTTCAAATGTGAATGATGGTAATGATAGCAATTCATCATATGGTAAGATATCAACATGTAAAATTTCGAAGTAAGATTTTGATATCTTAACATGATGCACACATTTCAAGTATTTTAGCAATCATAGCATTTCATCACATGGTAAGATATCAACATGTAGGACT